ACTGTCATTTCCTGACCTTGTCTGCACCTGGCCTACCTCAGCGTCCATGGGTACACAGGGGGCCTTGGAGACAGGGCCACAAACACCACATCCTTGGTACTGAGGCTCTGCCACGAGACCTTCTGAGGTCAGACTTGCTGCCAGGTTCTCAGCTACTTCTGGGGTCTTGTCTGTGTCATTTGAATATCAGAGTCACCCAGGGAAGCTACAAAGCAGCCTCCCCCTTTGTTAAATTTGCCCAAGAGGCTTCCTCTGGAGTCAATGGAACTCAGGGAAGAAATGGCCATTCTTTTAGTCTTCCTCGTATTATTTGTTTTTTCAATTTATTATTTATTTTTATATTTTTCCAAACAAGTATTTATTTTCTGTGAGTAATAATTGGAGGTGGGGGCTTTCCTGTGTCACTAAAGCAGGCCAGCCAGAGGGCCTGGGATGCAGTGGGTGGGGACTGCAGGTCTAGGCTCAAAGCAGTTGGAGTCCCTGCCACAAAGGGCGACCCCACCCCTCAAACACACACCCTGCCCAAGTCTGTTTGCTTCCTTCATCCCTAAGCTCTCACCTTCCCTGTGCCCGGGACCCATCACCAGAGAGAGGGAGCCTGGCACATCCCAAGTATACACCAGTCCCTGGTGCACTTCAGCAGGCGAGCTGCACTTTAACCGCTCAGTCTCTCTGAGAGCCCGGAATGCTTAAAGCGAATGTTGGGATTGCTGGGCTTCCGCTCTGTACTGCACAGCGTGTTGCATGCTGCGCTATGACTGTGGTACCATCCGTGGGCTCTGTGAATGCCGGAACATGGGGCTTCCCCTCCCCAGCCTTCGGACTTGGAAAGCCTCCTACGTTCCCTGTTCAAGCACCATCAAAATTTACCCAGGGGTAGTGAGGGTGGGGTAGCGGGAACACTAACACAGCTGGGTACTTTTTATTGTACAGGACAACAGTCCCAGACCGCAGAGTCAGGAAGAAACACTTTGGGCTCTACAGGAGACACTGCCTCCTCTCTCCATTCAGGGTACTTTGGGCTGTACAAGCCGGCAGGCAGGTGGGGAGGCGGGGGTGGGGGGGTGGGGGGTGTGGAAGCCCCATCTGGGCGGAGCTGTGTTGTGGGGAGGGAAAAGGGATGGGTAGAAGGGACAAATGAGAAAGCCTCAATTACTCGGTGGAGCCTCTGAAGACATGGATGTGGGAGGCCGAGTTGCAGATTCGAGTTGGCAGCTCGCGCGCATCAGCTGCACCATGGAGGAACTGGCAGCCGCCTGCGAGGCCCTGAAGCTGCCCCCCTGCAGCTGCAGGGCAATGTTGACCCCGCAGTTGATGGCCAGGCCCAAGCGGGAATGTAGATCTCAGCGCATGCGTTCTGACACGGAGCTGCTAGCTGCGGGCCAGCTGGGCCTTACCGCTAGTGTTCATGTTGATGTAGGTGTCCCGGGGCAGGCGACGAGAAGCCTGTACTCCGCTGGGTGCGGCTCAGCCTGGACGCTCCGCTAGGGTGGGCTCTCAGTTGGGCTCCCGAGATCAGTCTTCTCTCCTCTTATGTGTCTCATACACACAGCAACGCTGTCTACTTAGACGAGGCTTGAAGGAACTCGGCATAATTTAGTTCTCACCACCAGCCCGCGAGGAAGATGTCTGCTCATTCACAGCTAATGGTGAGAAGACTGAACGCCTTACCCGGGATTTCCGGGCCGTGGCTGAGGGTGGAGCCAGTCTGGGAATCTCGGTGGTCTGGTTGCTCTCACACTCTGCTCTGTGGCTCCTCCCTCTTCTGAAGCCTTTGACCTTCTCCCTTCCTTCCTCCTCCCCTTTCTCCTCCCTGCCTCCCAGGCCAGATTTCTTTTACCCCTCACTACCCTCCTCCCCTGCTCCACAGCCGCGTGGTCTGCTCTGATTTGCTACTACTGCCAGGCTGGTTTATTTACCAGTCCGCATGGGGTCTAGTGCATTCTGACATTTTCCTGAGAGGGACCTCGGGGACGTCAGCTGGGACAGCTCATGCCTTCCCCCGTCCACTTTGGAGGAGTTCTGGGAAGTGCTGAGACTGGTTGGTGGCAGTCCGCCAGCTCCCACACGAGATCCGGAGCCTATCCTAGAGAGTGTTTGGATATCAGCTCCGCTGGCGGCAGCTGATGACATCCCCGAGGACCCAACAGCAGGGCTGCTTCCCCTGGCGGCAACAAAGAATTTGGCAAGGGCTGGTCCTCCATCCTCTCCCGCCGGGGCGCCCTGAGTCCTGGCAGCTGTCCATGGCAACTGGCCATGGTGGCTCCACAGCGAGGCTACAGGAACAAAGACCTTGGCCTTCTTCATCTGGTGTCTCAGGGGCATTTCAGACAATCAGGAGCAGATCCAGGCTCCTTGACACTGCTCCCTATTGAGGCCCAAGGGCCCCAGATGCCTTATAAATCAGCCCTGTGCACCCTGGAGTGGCTGGGTTTCTCTCAGATTTCTGGCTTCTTCGTCAAAGCCTTACTTTTTTTTTTTTTTTTTTTTTTTTTTTTTTTAATTTGGTACGCAGAGAGACACCCAGAGAGAGACCATTCACCCACTAGTTCACTCCTCAGGTGCCTACAAGAAGGCCAGACTGAAACCAGGAGTCCAGAACTCTGTCCAGGTCTCCCACCAATGCACACTGGCAGGAGGTTGGATCTGAAGCGGAGTAGCCAGGACTGGAACCAGGTGGTCTGATACAGGCTGTGGGTGCCCCAAGCAGTGATTTAACTGCTCTGCACCAGATACCCACCCCTTATCAAAACCTTTAAATGCACAGTTTAAGCCATGGTGCAGTGTGGTGGCTTTAAGTGCAAAGACTAGCTCTGTAAAGCATTACGATAGAGGCTGGCGCTGTGGCGTAGTAGGATAAGCCTCATCCCATATGGGCACCAGTTCATGTCTTGGCTGCTCCTCTCCTGATCCAGCTTTCTGGTTATGGCCTGGGAAAGCAGTGGGAAATGGCCCAAGTCCTTGAGCCCTTGCACCCATGTGAGAGACCCTGAAGAAGTTCCTGGCTCCTGGCTTCAGATCAGTCCAGCTCCAGCCCTTGTGGCCATTTGGGGAGTAAACTCGCAGATGGAAGATCTTTCTCTTTGTGTTTCTCCCTCCTCTGTTTGTAACTCTGCCTCTCAAACAAACAAAAAGCGTTACATTACAAAATGTGAAGTGAAACCCGCTGTACTCGAGTCTCTCCATAAATGACCACAGTCTCAAATATTTTATAGATTTTGGGGCCGGCGTTGCAGTATGGTGAGTGGAGCTTCGGCCTGCAATGTCTGCATTCCACATGGGCACTGGTTTGATTCCCAGCTGCTCCACTTCCAATTCAGCTCCCTGCTAGTGTGTCTGGGAAGGCAGTAGAGGATTGCTCGGTGGTTGGTTGGGCCCCTGAACCCACTTGGGAGACCCAGATGGGGCTCCTGGATCCTGAATTTAGCCTGTCCATTACAGCCATTTGGGGGGGCGCAGCAGGTGGAAGATTGATCTCTCTCTTTGTTTCTCCCTTTCTTTCTGTAACTCCGCCTTTCAAATAAATAAATCAGTCTTTAGAAAAATATATTTTATGACCTAAGTGAAAGATCTCTGTGAATGAGATCCCATTGGAAAGAAGGGGCCATCAAAGAAGTAGGTACCTTTCTCTGAAGGGAGGAGAGAACTTCCACTTTGATTATTGCCTTGTCTAAATAAGGTCGGGGTTTGTGAATCAAGAGGCTTCCACAGCCTTGGAAGCTCATGACAAGAGCCTCAGGTGATCACTGACATCAAAAATAAGAGTGTCAATTGTTAAATCAACAACAGGAGTCACTGTGCACTTGCTCACCATGTAGGACCTCTGTCCTTAATGTGTTATACTATGAGAATTAACAGTTAAACTAGTATTCAAACAGTACTTTATACTTTGTATGTCTGAGGGGGTGCAATCCATTGAAATCTTTACTTAGTATGTACTAAGTTTATCTTCTATATATAAAGATAATTAAAAATGAATCTTAATGAAGAATGGGATGAGAGAGGGAGTAGGAGATGGGATGGTTTGCGGGTGGGAGAGAGGTTATGGGGGGAAAAACCACTATAATCCAGAAGTTGTACTTTCAAAATTTATATTTATTAAATAAAAGCTTTCTATAAAAATAAAAAAGAAATAAAAAAGAAAATTTCACTCTTTCAACAGACTTTTTTTTTTTTCTAGTAGAATCTCTTCCTTGCCTCCCATTTCCAGGTAAAACTGTTAGATATTCCTTGCAAATCCAGTATCAATGGTTCACAACCTGGTATACCAGGATTTGTATGTGTCCATAAGGGCACTCAGGAGGTCTCCAGTATGTTTTCGATATTCCCTAGGGAAACCGTGCTTTCTTGATAAGGTTGGGCTTATTGACTAAAAGAAATGTCTCTACCTTTGCACAGAATGAGCACTAACCCAAGTGGTATTTCCGTAGATCAAGTCTGATTTGTGCTCTTAACTGTGATACATGGGAAGGCACCTGACTGACTACCTGATGGGAGAACTGAGTTTGTGAGACGGAAGCTTTCACTGTCGTAAGTTCATGATGATGACAGGATGGGGCCCACTGCTGCACTGTCACCACGGCCATGTCCACTCTCCCTTTGACAGTTCATAGTATCCTTGCCACAGTGAAAAGATGCCTTTTGGACTTATTACACAACCTCTGAGTCGAGAAAATGTCAGCACAAAGTGACGGAGAAGGCCATCTTTTTGCTCAAGTGTGCCCTGGGGTTCAGTGGTCACTGAGGCCCTCGGTCATTCTGGATTTCACAGATTACGGAATAATACCCTGACCTTGCTTTATCATGAACCAGGCCTACTGCAGTTGGTAATTCACATTCGACACATTCCCGGAGGCCTCTGTCCTGGGAAATCATCACAGTAGATAACTAGGGACCTTTGCCGTGGTACTGCAGCCCTGGGAACCCTGGGCGCTACTATAAAAGAAGGCAGTCCCTGCGCCTGTGGGGACAGCAGCCTCTGCAGTGATGGGAAAGTGCAGGCAACAGCTACTCAGGGTTCCTTCCTACTTTGCTCACTCCACATTAGAAGCTTAGTTCACCAGGAACTTCAACACACATGTGAGAACTGCTCCAGGCCAGGTTCTGCTGTCCATGCCGGGACTATAGAAATCAAGGTCAAGATAACTGCTCCAAGAAACTCACAGCCTAGTAGGAAATCAGGTCTGTATCCACCCACCTACAGAACAGTGCGTGGACTCCCGTGTTAGTGGTTGGAGTGCACAGAGGGGAGTGAAGTGGTCTGGAAGTGGGGGTGGAGAGGAGAAGGCCTTGGGCTGGCCCTGGAAGGACAGAGTTTTCTGGAGCGGAGGGGTGGGGATTCTGGCTTTACTCCAAAGCATTTACCAGGCACAAGAGATGAGCTACTGAAGATGTGCTTTGCTCAACCATTCCAAGTTTCTGCCTTCTTTTCCAACGCTGCAGATGTGAGACACATTCATCCCAGCGGGTTCACCAGTCTCAAATCACCTTGGTTTTCTAATGCAGTGCTTTTCAGAGAAGGGTGGAGATGCAGCAGCTTGAGCCATCTAGGCAATGAGTAGAAACGCAGCTTCTTGGTCCCTGACCCACATCTCCCGGATCTGAAACTCCAGGAATTTCACTTGATACAAATCCCACGAAACTTCTGGACATTCACGGAGGCTGAGAGGGATGCAGGCTGCTTTCACACAGCCACGGGGCGGGTGGGTCGCAGGGCCTGCTCCAGGGGGGTGGGCGCCAGTCCCAGGACCCCGACCTCAGCAGCCGCTCGCGGGTAACACGGCCTCCTCAGTCACAGCGGCTGCTGGCCCCGGGCAGCGGCCACTCCCACGCCGGAGGCCTGCTCGGTCAGGTGACAGCGCCCGAGCCTGCTCAGCAGCAGACGCGGAACCAGGGTGCTCGGTGGCACCGGTCCGCCGGCTGCACGCAGGGACATGGGGTCCGCCGAGCGCCCGCGCCGCTCGCTCCCGCCGCTGCTGCTCCTGCTGCTGCTGTCGCCGCCCTCGCCGTGCCCCGCGCGCCGCGCCGCGCGCTTCGACCCGACCTGGGAGTCCCTGGACGCCCGCCCGCTGCCCGCGTGGTTCGACCAGGCCAAGTTCGGCATCTTCATCCACTGGGGCGTGTTCTCCGTGCCCAGCTTCGGGAGCGAGTGGTTCTGGTGAGCGTCCCCCTCTCCCGCGCCCCGGTCCGCTTCACCTGCCCCGGTGGTGACCCCGTGTTTCGCATTTCCGGGTGTCGCGCGTGCGGCTTCTCGTCCTGGCTGCTTGATCGCTGGGTTTTTCTTCCGTGTGACAGCATTTCCGGTCGCACTGCGTGCGGATCTGGCTTCCCAGCGTCTAGATAGTCGCGGATCAAGTGTAGGAGCGTTCAGGGCCTGGCGGCGGATGCCGCTGGACAGTCAGTGGGATGCTAGCCTCGCAGGTGGCGGCCTTATCCGTTTTGTCACAAGGCTGGCCCTCTAAGAACTTTCAATAGATGTCCCAGCATGGTACCCTAAAAAAATAACTCCTTGAAATCAATAGACTCATATAGGAAGATGCTGTACAAAATATCGTGCCTGAGATTTCATCTTGAGCTCTGTGTAAGTGTGCAGTAATCTCTTGAATTGGGAAACATGTGTTTCCTGATTAAATGCTTCCAGTATTAAAGTTCTCCAAGACAGAAATGTTATCAAATGGATACATGTGTGCATGTAAATATACACACATTTGTATGCATGTATACATATATGCATGTATTTGTATATACAAATATAATAGATTCCTAAATAAAATAAGGAAGCAAAAAGTACTTTTTAAAAAAAAATTATATATTTATTTGAAAGTCAAAGTTACAGAGAGAGGAGAGACAGAGAGAATTTCCATCCGCTGGTTCAGTCCCCAGATGTCTGTAATGCCTGGGCTGGGCCAGGCTGAAGCCAGGAAACAGGAACTTCTTCTGGATCTCCCACATGGGTGCAGGAGCCCAAGGAATTGAGCCGTCTTCTGCTGCCTTCTCAGGAACATTAGCACGGAGCTGGATAGGAAGCAGGGCAGCTGGGACTTGCACTGGTGCCCAAATGGGATGCCAGCACTACGGGCAGCAGCTTAACCTGCTATGCCACAGTGCATGCCCCAAGAATATTTATTTTAGTCTACTTTACGATATGTGTATTGTATAGTGTATAATACACAACTAAATCTATATATGATTTAAAGAGTAGATTCAATAGCGTATGAACCAAATATGTATTGCATTAAAATTACACAGTACACTGTACTACTTTCTACAAAAAGCTTGACTTCTTGTAATTAGCCTCCTTTCTTATTAACTTAGTCCAGTTGATGAGAAAGAACTGTGTAAGTTAAGGAGTAATACACGATTTTAAGACAAATTTGTAAAACAGGGGACACTCTCCTTGAGCCGTGTATTACCAAACATATTTACTTCAGGAAGATGTTTAAATGTTTATTTGGGACTAAGCAGCATGTTAAGTTTGTTTCTGAAATGTTTCAGGTTAAGTAGACACATAAATTAGCAGATTCTTCTCTTCCCTAACTTGTATCATATTTTATATTATCATTTTGTTCAACCATGAAGACTACGTAGATACTCATTTGATATCAGAACAGCACTGAAACAGTTCTGAGTTATTTTTGCTGTAGTTAGTGTTTCATTTCCTACAAACACATGGCTGTTTGTTATGACATAAAACAATGAAGAAATGTCTCATACAAAATAAAACCCAGTCTAGAATATACTTCTGTGCACTTATTTATTTACCTATTCACATTTTATTTGAGAGACAGATGGAGAGTGATCTTCCATCTGCTGGTTCACTCACCTAGATGCCCAGAACAGCTAGGAGTTGGCCAGGCCAAAGCCAGGATCCTGTAATTCAATCTGAACTTCTCATATGGGTGGTAGGGATCCAAGTAATTGAACCATCATCTACTGCCTCACAGGGTGCACATGAAAAGGAATGTTGGGTTGGAAGAAGATTCCAACCAGGCATTGTAATATGAGATGGGGTGTCCTGGGTGGTGACCTAACTGGTGCACCACACACCTGACCCCAGAGTTTGTCTCTGATGGTCCTATTAGCTCTGTGGCAGATTCTTTCATTAACTAAGGTTTCCTTTTGTGCCTTTTCTAAACCTCTGCTCCCTACTCCGAATTTGGCTTGGTTGACACTAGAGATGAATGTAGCTGACTATTCTCAATGGCTATTTAAACCCAAGTATAAATGAGGGAGTCTGTAGTATAAGTGCCTCTTTGCATCTTTATTAGTATGAAATTTGAAAAGCAACTATAGCATTGGTAGCAGAGAACGCAAGCAGATAGACCACAACAGGAGGAAACAGAAGTTTCTCTTCTTCCTCAACTTCCTGATTGTCCCATTTCTCCTTGGTAGTTCATAGTAAAAGGTAAAAATATATCATAGATTAGTTATGGAATTTATTCATTTCCAGTTATAAAAAATCTAAATAAAAGGTGTAATAATAGGGGCTTAGTATCTTACATAAGAAATTTAGAGGTAGTTGACTCATTGATGAATTCAAAGATCTAGACTCTTCCTGTCACCCTCAGCCTGTGGGTGTGGCCCTTTGTGGTCACATGCTGGCAGTTAGGCACCATAGCTTCACACAACCTTGCTCAAAAGCAAGAAAACCAATTTCTCTTTTTTTCAAAGGAATCATTCCCCAAATCCCCAAAGTCACCTCCCCTTAATTTCTATTGGCTGAGAAGCTGGGAAAGTGTGGGTCACTTTTGGCCAGACCAGCAGCAGTGCCTGTCACACTTAGATCCTTCAGCGAAGCCTTCCCATTCGGAAGAACCTCTGAATCCTCTCTGGAATGTGCTGGTGGTGAATCAACTCATCCTGTAGGGATCCTCTTATAAAAGGAAGTAGCAATGGGGTAAAGCAAAGGTGGATCAGAATGGAACTTCCACTGGCTTCGTGAGGATAGTGACTGCTGGCTTATGCAAGATGTTCTAGATGTACCTACTATGTGCTGTGATTCAAAAGTGGAGAGTTAAGACAGAACAAGCAGCTGGTTGTTTAGAATGCTCTAGGTTGTGAGCTGGGAAGATTTCACATGGGGATATATATTAAATGAGACGGGAGATTTGGTTCACACAAACTTTTTTTTTTTAATTAAGATTTACTTATTTACTTGAAAGTCAGAGTTACACAGAGAGAGAAGGAGAGACAGAGAGAGAGAGAGAGAGAGAGAGAGAGAGAGAGATCTTCCATCCGCTGGTTCACTCCTCAGTTGGTTGCAACAGCCGGAGCTCTGCCGATCCAAAGCCAGGAGCCAGGAGTTTGTTCCGGGTCTCCCATTCAGGTGCAGGAGCCCAAGGACTTGGGCCATCCTCAACTGCTTTCCCACGCCACACCAGAGAGCTGGATCGGAAGCAGGGCAGCCAGGACTTGAACTGGTGCTCATATGGGATGCCAGCACTGCAGGCAGCAGCTTTATCTACAATGCCACAGCACTGGCCCCATCACATAAGCTTTCTGCAAGGCCAAGTCAAATTGATGGGGGAGTGAGAAAGAATCCGGGTAATATTTGAGTAAGGGGAAAGAGAAACAGGAGCTGGAGCAATTATTTCTCACGCTTGCGTGTGTGCTGCTTCCTTTGTTCCCTAGGTGGTATTGGCAAAAGGAAAAGAGGCCAATGTTTGTGAACTTTATGAAAGATAATTACCCCCCTGATTTTAAATATGAAGATTTTGGACCACTATTTACAGCCAAATTTTTTAATGCCAACCAGTGGGCAGATCTCTTTCAGGCCTCCGGTGCCAAATATGTTGTTTTAACTTCCAAACATCATGAAGGTGAGTAAATACTGTGTGTACAAAAATATACTGAAAATGGTTAGGTAATGTATACTTGGTCTTTTGAGAGAAGAAACCAAAGCAAAGCCATTCAGAGGAAATCAGTTTTCTCTTAGGAGCAACCCTAAGTGGTGACTGACATTTGCTTATAATTTAAGGACCAATGTTCCACTCAAGTTTAATGCATTAAGGAAACAAAGATTATACCCTCCATATATACATGTATTTAACAATGTTTCCAGGATTCAATTAAAGCTATTTAAATTGGGATGTGGGTTGTAGGTGCAACTTTATAATTGGAATTATACACTTTTGTTTCTCTGTAATGCATTCTGTGAGGTTACACTGCCGTAATCTTGCATCATTGCTGACACTGTACTTTTGGTCAGCTCAGCCAAATGGTACAAGTGGTGTATGACTTCCTTGTCAAGAAAGCAACACAGATCACCTAGCAAGAAAAGGATTATGGAATTGTAATGGAGCCCAGAAGTATCAGAGATGTTGGAAGAATATCAAAAAGGAAAAACTGTGGTTTTACATTAATAGGAGAGAATCTATTACCATTATCTATATACATCTAGACATATTACCAGTGTCTATATGACCAAGGAAGCATCAGCACATTGCTATTGTTCCAAATTCATGTGAATTTAATAGTTTCCTTGCATGTCCTCCTTTGTCTTCTTATAAGAAATTTTGCCTCATTGTTTTCTCCAAGGTTGGGAGGGATGGGGGTAGGAGGTGAGAATCCAAACTAAAAGTCTGAGATTATCTTTAGAATATTTTCCCCTTTGGCCATATTCTGATGACTTTGTGATTTTTCTCTTGTAGATGTTTCTCCTGCTGAGATGGATATTTCTAAAGTATATTTGCTTGAGAATATGTTGGTTTCCTAATGCCTAGGAACTTCCCCTAGGTATATGGGCACATGTTACACAATGAGTTTATTAAACAAACAGCCCAACAAAACCCCCTAAAATTGTAGATCAAACTGAAGGGACAGATGATGTAGCCTACATGTATGCATTTTCAAAGAACTATGTTGTCAGGTTTTTTTCATTGCTTATGGAACAAACACTTCTGGAATTAGGAAGGAAGATCACTGTGAATCCACGGTGGTGGAACTGCACTGAAGACACATGTGCTTTTAGCACTACCTGACATTGGGGCCTGTAAAGTTGAAAAACTTTAAGACCTTCAATATCAACACTACTTTGAAACTTAACAGAAACATCTTTGGGATAAGTACAAACTATTTCAGAAATAATTTTAAATGAATCTAGAATGAGTCAATCTTAGACTTGTCCTTGTTTATAAAAGTCTTTCACCAAAAATGTCTCACAAATGTTGACGATCAGATTTTTTTTTTAGATTTTGTTGTAACTGCGATGCTGTACTTTATGACTCTAGGCAGTAACTGAAAGTCTTGAAACTTTTATGATATTTTTTATACGCTTATGTTTATATGTCTCTTAAGAATTTTATATAGAGGCCGGCGCTGTGGCTCACTAGGCTAATTCTCTGCCTTGCGGCGCCGGCACACTGGGTTCTAGTCCCAGTCGGGGCGCCGGATTCTGTCCCGGTTGCCCCTCTTCCAGGCCTGCTCTCTGCTGTGGCCAGGGAGTGCGGTGGAGGATGGCCCAAGTGCTTGGGCCCTGCACCCCATGGGAGACCAGGAGAAGTACCTGGCTCCTGCCATCAGATCAGCGCGGTGCGCCGGCCGCAGCGTGCTGGCTTCAGCGGCCATTGGAGGGTGAACCAATGGCAAAGGAAGACCTTTCTCTCTGTCTCTCTCTCTCACTGTCCACTCTGCCTGTCAAAAAATAAAATAAAATAAATAAAATAAAAAAAGAATTTTATATGGGACAGTCAGAAATCTAAGTGAAAATTCCTGTTAAAATATATTTAATGTACTCATATATTGGTTTACCTTATTTTTCTTTTCTTCTTCTTCTTTTTTTTTTTTTTTTTTAACAGGCAGAGTTAGACAGTGAGAGAGAGAGAGAGAGAGACAGAGAGAAAGGTCTTCCTTCCGTTGGTTCACCCCCCAAATGGCTGCTACAGCTGGCACATCGCGCTGATCCGAAGCCAGGAGCCAGGTGCTTCCTCCTGGTCTCCCATGCGAGTGCAGGGCCCAAGAACTTGGGCCATCCTCCACTGCCTTCCCGGGCCACAGCAGAGAGCTGGCCTGGAAGAGGGGCAACTGGGACAGAATCCGGCGCCCCGACTGGGACTAGAAGCCAGTGTGCTGGCGCCGCAGGTGGAGGATTAGCTAAGTGAGCAGCGGCGCCGGCTGCAGTTTACCTTATTTTTCTGACTCATTTAGTTGGTAGATTATTCACTTCTGGGCAATATATTTTGTATGTTATTTTAGAATTTTAATTTATATTTTATTTATGAGAGAGAGAGAGAGAGAGAGAAAGAAAGGGATTTTCTGCCTGCTAGTTCATTGCTCAAACACCCAGGGCTGGACCAGGCTGAAGCCAGGAACCTTACATAGGTGGCAGGGACCCAGCTCCTTGAGCCATTACCTGCTGCCTCTCAGAATGCACATTAGCAGGACACTGGCTCAGAAGCAGAGCTGAGACTCAAACGCAGGTACTCTGTTATGGAATTAAGGTGTCTCAACTGGCCTCTTAAACTCTATACCAAATGCCCGCCCTAGTTTTTGGCAATTTTAAGAGCAATATCCAAGCTTATGACTTTAGAGTAGGGTAAGATTGCAAATGGTGTGTTTATTTAAAGTGCAGAACCATTGGGAAACAGTGCTAAGACTCACACTATGATAAAATAGGCAACCGTAAAACCAGGGAATAAAATTTGATCTTCAATTTAAAAGACAAATAGGAATCTTGCAGTAGGGTGTCTCAGGTTCTCTGTTACAAATAGGGGTGGTTGTTACTTAGCATGGCATATGTGGAAGATGTGCCCACCTTGGCTGTTGGTTCTTATGGTTCGTTGTTTATTTCGTGCTACACCCTGGGCCAGCAGTGGGCTGAGTAGGTAGGTAGCAGGGAATACTGAGGACATGATGCTAATCCTTAAGGCTCTTGAAGTCTAAAAGGTGAATTATTGAAGATAGATCAGGCTGTGTGGACTTTATGATATATCCTCAAAGTTGCTTTTGAAAACTTCAGCTCTATCTTGTTTAAATGTTCATTTGTTTATTATAAAAGTAAAAATATAGCCTAAATTATTTAGCTTTTTATAAATAATATATAAGTTAAATACAAATATGTACTATGGGGTGCCAGTGTGGCACAGTGGGTCAAACCACTGCTTGCAATGCTGGCATCAATATCAACATGCTTGTTAGAGGCCTGGCTTCTCCACTTTTGATCCAGCTTCCTGCTAATGTGACTGGGAAGGCAACAGAAGTCAGCAGGCTCCTGCCACTTACGTGGGAGGCCTGGATGGACTACCTGGCTCCTTGCTTCAGTCTGGCCAACCTCCAGTTATTGCAGCCATTTGGGGAGTGAACCAGCAGATGAAAGATCTCTCTCTCTTTCTATCATTCTGCCTTTAAAATAAATAAATAGATATTTAAAACATATATATTTATACATATATATTATGAAAAATATTGCTATGAAATATTCATTTTAGAAGCAATTATTTATATATCACAGATACCAACATATTTGTTTTGGTGTTTGCACCAGTGGAACTTTATTCAAAATTGATATTACAAGAAATTTTATTACATTTTTTAGGCTTCACCTTGTGGGGTTCAGAGTATTCGTGGAACTGGAATGCTGTAGATGAGGGGCCGAAGAGGGACATTGTCAGGGAACTTGAAGTGGCCATTAGGAACAGAACTGACTTGCGTTTTGGACTATACTATTCTCTTTTTGAATGGTTTCATCCGCTCTTCTTAGAAGATCAATCTAGTTCATTTCATAAGCAACAATTTCCAGTTTCTAAGATGTTGCCTGAGATCTTTGAGTTAGTGAGCAAGTATCGGCCTGAGGTCCTATGGTCAGATGGAGATGGAGGGGCGCCAGATTCCTACTGGAACAGCACTGGCTTCTTAGCCTGGCTGTATAATGACAGGTGCGTATGCTATCAGATGGCTGTCATTACCTTTGACACTCTTAGCGTGTATGACTATTTATAACATTCTGATTCCCTTGCTTCTCAAATTACTTCCTTTTGGGCTCATTGGCAATATGTGGGGAAGAAATAATTGTAAATAAGGATTGTTAGGCATATCAGTATTCTCAACATTATCAAGAATAAATAAATAAGGAGTCAAATAGAACTCAAATTCACAGGATCATGGATTTTGAAGGTGTTCACTCTGTGAGTTTTCCTTTTCATCTCTTACTCTGGTTTCCTGTGGTCCCTGTTCTGGGACAACTGTTCATGCATCATTGTTTCTCACGACGAGCTTTCACATTCCTCTAATTGCTTTTACCCTCGGATAACTTTTGCTGCCCGGTCACTATTGCCCTGCTTGTCTCCTCTTTTCCTTCAGCATCAGCATTCTAACTTCTTCTGATTGCTTCCTCCGGCTTCCTAGCGCATTCAAGGTTGCCCCAAGAGAACAGAGATTTCTGACTGAGCTCCTCCACCAGGCTGGAACTGTAAGGACCATGTTTACATTGCTAACTAGAAAGCACTTGGTATGGTGCTGTGAAGCCAGGTAGCTGTCTACTTGTGCTTCCTGGGGCCCACAAAAACCACAAACACAAGTATTCTGGAGAAGTCTTAACACTGAAGACAGCAATGTGTCCATGTACTTCTTCCAAAGAAAAAGACGAGGACCCATTCACTTACCTCTGTGAATCAAAATGTCCCCTCTAAGTGGAATGGGGTCCCCTTGACTGTACCATCTACTATGATGAGTAATGTTGTATGGCTTTCTCACATGATATCAGCACTCATTTTTTCGTTTAGATCCTTCAAAAGTGAGCACAACTGGAAAAGAAAGGGGAAGGCTAAAATATATGTGCAAGATTGTTCAGTTATTGTAGAGAAAAATATTTTTGGTATAAATTCCGTTTTGGCAATTATTTTGAATATGGGGGCTTCAAATATTAGTATTTTACCACTCTTTATATTAGTATTTTATATTAGTGTTTTACCATTCTTTTAAGTGTGGTAAATTCTGGGTACTGAGCTAAGGAATTTATTTCAATTAATTTTTTCTAATAATAGGCCAGAAAATGTATTATTCAGTGGAGCTGGGTAATTAGCTCTAAGTCTGAAAGCTAGAAAGTGACAGAACCAGGACTCCATTTGACTCAGTTCTTGGTGGCTTCAAAACCGTGGGCTTTCTACCATGTTGTGCTATGGTAATTTTTCAGGAGTGGACTTTAGTTAGCCCTCTTTTCGGTAACGTTTTCCTTTTGTGTAAAAATCTTACCTTCCTTGTTTTAAAAATTGTCCTTTTCATTTCAGCCCAGTTCGGGACACAGTGGTCACCAATGATCGTTGGGGAGCTGGTAGCATCTGTAAGCATGGTGGCTACTATACCTGCAGTGATCGTTACAACCCAGGACATCTTTTGCCACATAAATGGGAAAACTGTATGACAATAGACAAATTTTCCTGGGGCTATAGGAGGAATGCTAGAATCAGTGACTATCTTACAATTGAAGAATTGGTGAAGGTACAGTGAACTATCTGGTGGTAATTATCGTAATAGTCTTGGTGAGATTGTGTTGGAATTATTTCTTCTGACTTGTCTAGCCCACTGGCCTAAAAACACAGGGCTCTATTCCATCCTCAGTGTTTCTCCTTCTAGGTATTGACCGTGTATGAGTATATACATAAAATGCATTAACACGTTGAAAGTGGAATTGCGTATCTAAGAATGTTTATTTGCATTTTAGCAACTTGTAGAAACAGTTTCATGTGGAGGAAATCTCTTGATGAATATTGGGCCTACACTAGATGGCACCATCTCCGCAATTTTTGAGGAGCGATTAAGGCAAATGGGGGCCTGGCTGAAGGTCAATGGGGAAGCCATCTACGACAGCCACACCTGGCGATCCCAGAATGACACCATCACCCCAAATGTGTGGTAGGTCATTCTTCTTACCATGTCCTGTTGGATAGAGGGAGGCATTTAAGCATTCTCAGAGCAATAATGAAGAGTAAGATAAAAAGAAAAATTGGATGAATGCCAACCTATACAAAGCACTTTCCAAACTTCATTTACTTCCCCCCCCCCCCAAAAAAAAAGGGAAGATGAAAGACGAAATTAGCAGGTTTTTGAACATATATGGGTTATCAAATTGAGCTTAAGTAATTTCTAGTTATTTCTAAGCACTGATAAACTTTAGCTAAAAGTAGCCAGTTCTTACAGACATTTTATGTCATTCAGATAATTGAAAAGTGATAGGCCACGGCTCAGTAGGCTAATCCTCTGCCTTGTGGTGCCGGCACACCGGGTTCTAGTCCCTGTTGGGGCCCAGATTCTGTCCCGGTTGCCCCTCTTCCAGGCCAGCTCTCTGCTGTGGCCCGGGAGTACAGTGGAGGATGGCCCAAGTGCTTGGGCCCTGCACCCCATGGGAGACCAGGAGAAGCAGCTGGCTCCTGCCTTCGGATCAGCGCGGTGTGCTGGCCGCAGCACGCTGGCCTCAGTGGCCATTGGAGGGTGAACCAACGGCAACGGAAGATCTTTCTGTCTGTCTCTCTTTCTCTCACTGTCCACTCTGCCTGTCAAAAAAAAAAAAAAAAAAGTGATAAGTGGTTGATCTAAATTCAGTTCAATAAACTCTACCTTTTGCAGATGTCACACCCATCAAATTAGCAATCAGGAGTCACCCAAGGGCATAGAAAAATATTAGGTTAAAAATTAGTCCAAAATACAGAATTGTGGAGAGATGACTAAATAGGAAGCACCAGGAATCTGTCTCCCAAGCTGGACACGAATTGCACTGGTAGAATGTGTCTGATGTCCAATAAGCACAAGAAAAGATAGTCAACATCGCTAATCATCAGGGAAATAAAAATCAACGGTACAGAGATATTGCTTGATATTCAACAGAATGGCTACTAAGAAAAAAAGAAAATAACAAGTGTTGGTGAGGATGTAGTGATTTAGAACATTTGTGCACTGTTGGTGGGAATGTGACTGGTAGAGCTATTGTGGAAAGCGGCATGGCAGTTCCTCAAACAATTGAAAGTAGAATCACTGTGTGATCCAGCAATCATGCTTCTGGCGTCTACCCAAAAGAATGAAAACAAGGTGTCAAAAAGATGTCTGTATACACATGCACACAGCAGCATTATTCACAGTAGCCAAAATGTAGTGTCCATTGATGGGTGAATGGATAAGCAAAATGCTGTACGAGGCTACTTCAAAAAGTTCTCGGTAAAGGAAATTAAAAAATAAATTTATTTGGATGCAGAATTTTGAAATCCATGCATACAAGGGGTCTTCAAAAGTGTTGTGAAAAATATACAGAAAAACTATGCATGGATTTCAATTTTTTTTTTCAGTAAAATCAACTTCTTCTATTCCATTTTCCCATGCACTGTTTGAAATACCATTGTACTGGAACATTATTCAATCTTGAAAAGGAAGGCAATTCTGAAATATGTTACAATCTACATGAACTTTCAGGACATTATACTAAGCTAGTCACACAAAGACATACAATATGCTTTTTTTTTTTTTTTTTTTTGACAGGCAGAGTGGATAGTGAGAGAGAGAGACAGAGAGAAAGGTCTTCCTTTTTGCCGTTGGTTCACCCTCCAATGGCCGCCACGGCTGGCACGCTATGGCCAGCGCACCATGCTGATCCGAAGGCAGGAGCCAGGTGCTTCTCCTGGTCTCCCATGCGGGTGCAGGGCCCAAGCACTTGGGCCATCCTCCACTGCACTCCCTGGCCACAGCAGAGAGCTGGCCTGGAAGAGGGGCAACCGGGAAAGAATCCGGCGCCCCGATCAGGACTAGAACCCGGTGTGCCAGCGCCGCAAGGCGGAGGATTAGCCTATTGAGCCGCGGCGCCGGCCACAATATGCTTCTACCTACATGAGGTACCTAGTCAGCATCATGGGGACAGAATGTAGACTGGTGATTGCCAGGAGCTGAGGGGAGGGCAGAATGGAGAATTGTTACTTAAAGGATATGGAATTTCAGTCTCACAAGGTGAAGAGAATTATGGAGATGATTGCATAGCATTATGAATTTATTTATTTATTTTTAAAGATTTATTTATTTATTTGAAAGGCAGAGTTACAGAGAGGCAGAGGCAGAGAGAGAGTGAAGTCTTCCATCTGTTGTTTCTTTTTTATTTTTAAATTTTTTTTGCCAGGCAGAGTTAGTGAGAGAGAGAGACAGAGAGAGTTATAGATAGTGAGAGAGAGACAGAGAGAAAGGTTTTCCTTCCATTGGTTCACTCCCCTAATGGCCGACATGGCCTGTGCTGCGCCAATCCAAAGCCAGGAGTCAGGTGCTTTCTCCTGGTCTCCCATGTGGGTGCAGGGGCCCAAGCACTTGGGCCATCCTCCACTGCCTTCCCAGGCCACAGCAGAGAGTTGCTGGAAAAGGAGTAACCGGGACTAGAACCCGGGGTGCCAGCGCCATAGGCGGAGTATTAGCCAAGTGAGCCACAGTGCTGGCCTATCTATTGTTTCATTCCCCAGATGGCCACAATGGCTGGAGCTGAGCCAGTCTGAAGCCAGGAGCCAGGAGCTTCTTCTAGGTCTCCCACATGAAGGCAGGGGTCCAAGGACTTGGATCATCCTCTACCTGCTTTCCCAGGGTATAGGAGAGAGCTGGATAGGAAGTGGAGCAGCCAGGACTTAACTGGCACCCATATGGGATGCTGGCACTGCAGGCAGCAGTTTTACCTGCTAAACCACAGCGCCAGCTCCATGAATGTATTTAATACTACTGAACTGTATATTTAAAAATAGTTAAGATGGTAAATTGTATGGTACGTATATCACACCAAAATAAAATAATTAGAAGAAGTCAGCCCAAAATAACAGCATTTAAAAACTTATTTAAGGGGCTGGCACCGTGGCTCACTTGGTTAATCCTCCGCCTGCGGTGCCGGCATCCCATATGAACACTGGGTTCTAGGCCTGTTTGCTCCTCTTCCAATCCAGCTCTCTGCTGTGGCCTGGGAAGGCAGTGGAGGATGGCCCAAGTGCTTGGGCCCCTGCACCTGCATGGGAGACCAGGAGGAAGCACCTGGCTCCTGGCTTCTGATCGGTGCAGTTGCCGGCTGTGGCTGCCATTTGGGGAGTGAACCAACGGAAGGAAGACCTTTCTCTCTCTCACTGTCTGTAACTCTACCTGTCAAATAAAAAAAAAAAAAACTTATTTAAAAAAATTTATTCATACTACTATAATAAATCTCCACCTAGAATTTCTGTACATTATCTTGTTTTCTTTACTACTTCTTTAAAAGTCCTGCTTTGGATCAGTTGTTTGGCACAGCTGTTAAATCACTGCTTAAGTTGCCCTCATCTCATGCTGGGGTGTCTGCTTTGATTATCCCTTTGACTTCTGACTCCAGCATTAACATTCCTGCTAATGTGCTCCCTGGGAGGCAGCAGCTGAGGGCTCAGCTACTTGGGTCACTGCCATCCATGTGGGAGAGTTGAATGGAAGTCTAGGCTCCTAGCTTTAGGCTGGCCTAGCTGTGGCTGTTGTAGGCATTTGGGAAGTGATACAGCAGATGGAAGATCCTCTCTCTCTCTCTCTCTCTCTCTGCTTTTCAGATAAAATGAAAATAAGTAAAAATAAAGTTAAAAAGAGAAAGTTCTCTTACATTAAAAAAAAAAAACATGAAAAACTCTTGCCTTAAGCTTTGAGATTGGTAAGGTTCAGTGTTCCAATGTGTACCTGAATTAGAATGCAAATCTGATGGTTTCTGATGTGAGGTTTTAATGATATAAATAAGGGTAATATTAATGAAGCTTTCAAAATTTACTTTGTGTCATTACCTAAACGAGTACTGCCTGATCAAATGTAATTCAGGAGATTAAGGAATATTCTCCATTCTTACTTGACTTATGGCTTAAACCATATTGTGAACTTTTTAAAGAAAATAAAGGCAATCTAGACAGAAACAAATAATTTCAGAATTATTTTATTAATTTATTGAACTTTAGAAAATTATTTATTTTAACGAGAGTAAACTTCCACTTTCTGGTGTACTTCTCAAATGCCTGCAACAGCTGGAGCTGAGCCTGAAGCTTGGAACTCCAAATGGGTCTCCCACATGGGGGCAGGGACCCAGCTGCTTAAGTCATCACTTCTGCTGCCCATGGTGTGCATTAGAAGGAGACTGGAATCGGAAGTGGAGGTGGGACTCAAACCCAGGCTATGGAAAGCAGGTGGCCCAAGTGGTGTGTTCACTGTTACACCTAGCACCTGCCTTAGTTGTAGAACTTTAGCACACTAGATGTGGAAGAAGCCATAATGAGTAGTCAGTACCAATCTCTTATGTAACAGTTTGAATCCAGTTTTGCAATGTTTCCGTACTTCTTCTTCTTTTTTTTTTTTTTTTTTTTGGACAGGCAGATTGGACAGTGAGAGAGAGAGACAGAGAGAAAGAAGGTCTTCCTTTTTTCCGTTGGTTCACCCCACAATGGCCTTTACAGCCGGCACACCGCGCTGATCCGAAGTCAGGAGCCAGGTGCTTCTCCTGGTCTCCCATGCGGGTGCAGGGCCCAAGCACTTGGGCCATCCTCCACTGCCTTCCCGGGCCACAGCAGAGAGCTGGACTGGAAGAGGAGCAACCGGGACAGAATCCGGCGCCCGGACCAGGACTAGAACCCGGTGTGCCGGCGCTGCAGGCGGAGGATTAGCCTATTGAGCTATGGCGGCGCCGGCGTTTCCGTACTTCTATTTGTATTTGAACTCAAGAGTGTCTGATCTGGGACTTCCAAATAATTATCATAAACACTATTCTATTAATGTGTATTTCAGTAAAGGTAAAAGGCATAGTATTTAAAGTGGCCTGTCAAGCTGGGTGTCTGGCTGCACCACCTACCTTCCTGCCGTGAGTGTCCTGGCTGTCCCTCCCCACTCTAGGGGCTGTCTTCCTCCAAAGGTTCACCTAGCTGCTTCCTCTCCTGCTTACAGTCATCCCAGGTCAATCTTTTGCAGTTTTAGCCCTGGCTCACAATCTCCGTCCCCAGAACTACTTTTAATGTAATTCTTAGTGATTTTTCTATCTCTAGTCATAGTTCTTCTAATTTGCTCTTCTGCGTCTCTTTAGGGACCTTGTCCACTGTACCCTTTGCCTCCCTTTCCTTCCATGATCCCAGTTTGGAGCATTCTACTAACTACCACTGTTCAGATTTCAGCTCACTGCACAGAGCAGCTTAGCTTCCAAGGGGATCTATAATCCAATGATCATATCCTCAGTAAGCCCATCCCCCTTTCCTTGTGCCTAGCCCCTCCCATGTCTTCCTTCTCCCTTGTCCAGGCCAGGTTCTGTGGCCCACCACTGTAACTGATCCTTTGCATATACCCTCAAATCCTTAACCCTCACTCCCTCTGTCATTCTCATCTGACACAGTATCAACCTTGATTAAATTCAGCTCTACTTGTTCCAGGCCTGCTTGTTGTCAGCTAGTTGTGACCAGTAACACACAGACACAATGTCAGATTATCTCCCTCTTGGCTTTAAGGCCAACCCTTGTGTTCTGGATCCCATCCCAAATCACGGACTCAAGGATTCTTAAAACAATTATGTCCTTCCCCTCATCACCTTCCATCTCCTCATTTGCTGCTTCCCCAGCACCATAAAAACATGTGAGTCCTTTCATCTTAAAAAAAAAAAAAGTACTCTTGACCTACTTGTTTCCAGCTACGTTTCCATTTCTCACCTTTACATTATAGAAAAACATCTTAAAAAATTGTTTTTATTTGCTTCTCCAATCTCTGCTCCAGCTTTTCTCTTGAACCCACACTAATCAGGCTTCTAGAGCCCCAGACTCCACACAATTGCTATGATCAAGGTCCATAATAACTTTTACCTCGCCAAATCCCAGTTCTTGTGTGTTTTTTTTTTAAAGCTTTATTTATTTGAAAATCAGTTACACAAAGAGAGGAACACACACACACACACACAGAGCGAGCTCACCTCTATCTGCTGGTTCACTCTCCAGATGGCTGCAATGGCTGGGAATGAGCCAGGCGGAAGCCAAGAGATTCATCCCTCCCACGTGGGTGGCAGGGGCCCAAACACATGGGCCATCTTCTGCTGCTTTCCCCAGGCCATTAGCAGGGAGCTGGATTGGAAGTAGAGCTGCTGGGACATGATGGGATGCTGCCCCTATGGGATGCTGAAGTCGCAGGCAGTGTTACTCAGTACACCACAACTCTGGCCCCCAGTTCTCATTTTCTGAACTTGACAGCGTCTGCCTCAGTTGATTGCCAAGTCCTGGTTCTCATCATACCTGTTGGCTGCTCCTTAGCATCATTTCTTGATTCTACCCAGTTTTCTTTAAAAATGTTGCTAGAAACTAGTTCCACTTGCAAGCTATCTCTCCCCACATCTTCCCCATCTTAGTTATGGTGTCTTTATTCTTTCAGGTGGTTACTAAGTCAAGAACCCTGGAGCCCTTAACTTCCCTTTTATCTCCACAAAGCATCTGTCGGCAGAGACCATCATCTCTGTCTTTGAAATACAGCCAGAATCTGGGTCACTTCTTATCCTCTGTGTGGCTGCCCACATCCTTTTGTTCTCCCCTTGTGCTAGGATTATTTCAGTAGTTTCTTGACTGATATCTGTTTAATCTATTCTCCCCAAAGCAATCAGAGTAAACTTAAAAAATAAGTCAATTATGCCATCACCATGCTCCCATTCCTCCAATGGTTTCCAGGAGAGAAAAAGCCGAGGACTTAGAGAGGTTTGCAGAGCCTATCGACTTGGGCTCTGCTGTCTGACCTTCCCTGCTCTCATTCTCCTCGCCCTCCCTCTCCCCAGCACCCTGGCCTCCTGCTGTTATCTCCGAAGGCCAAGTACACTCTTGCATAGGTCCACCTGCACTTGCTATTCATTTTGCCTGGAAGGCTCCCCCTTGTTTCTCAGGTCTCCTCAATGTTGCCTCCCCAGAGAGGTTTTCCCAGATTATTCTAAACAACTCCTGCCCTATATTTGCCTGGCTTCATTTTTCCCCATAGCATGTCATCATCATCTGACAAGTGTTTGTTCACTCTAATTTCTCCCACCAGAGTGGAAGCTCCATGAGGACAGAAACTTTATTCAATGCTGTACCTCTGGCCCTAAATCAGTGACTAGAATTCTAAGATTTCAATAAACATGGTTGAGTCATTGAGTAAATGAATGCTGTTTCGTTTACTGCATACTTCTTTTATCTTTCCCTTTGTTCTCATTCATCCTTTAGTCTAGATTCGAAGCCATTCTCTTGGAGAAACTTCTTTCTGATGATTTCATCTGAAAAGATCCCTTTGTTATAATTTCTCAGTTTCCTTTTCTTTTACAGTGTATATCAAAACTCATATTATTTGTGTGATTATTTGATGAGTGTTTTCTTATTCTAGTATAAGCTCCATAAGGACAAGAACTACGCATGTTTTGTTTTTCTGTTGTATCCCTAACACTAGCACATTGCTGGCCTGAGTGTTGACTTGCGCATAGGTGTGGAATGGTTAATGTAAAGATTTGAATCAGCAGGTGGAAAGCTGTCAGCCTTTGTATCCTACCATCCTACATAACCTCAACTCCCCTTTCAGTCCCATGAGAGCAATCTGATAAGTAGAAATTCCACTCCAAAAAATGTTTCTTTTCCAAGAACTTACTTTTTATGTTGGAGGAATGAGAGGAGATTCTTTCTGTACCACCAAGGACTATTTTTCCTTTACTTCTACTAATAGATATTGGTAAATATTATTACATGGAAGTATCTCCTTTAAATAATTCCAGATCTGATTCATAAATAACAAGAAATATGGGCTGTAACCTGTTATCATTCTTTTTATTTTTTCTCTTAATCAGGTACACATCTAAGCCTAAACAAAACTTGGTCTATGCTATTTTTCTTGAGTGGCCTACCTCAGGATTGCTGATTCTTGGCCAACCCAATGCTACTCTGGGGGCAACAAAGGTAAAAGGGGATTTCTTTCTCTATTGTTTCTTTAAATTGCCTGCCAAGGGGGCCGGTGTTGGGTGCAGTAAACCACCACTTCCAAAACTGACATCCCATAACGGCACTGGTTCCAGTCCTGGCTGCTCTACTTCCAATTCAGCTTCTGACATGCCTGTTAATGAGGAAGAAAAAGGCCCACCCGGGGCCTCTGCATCCATATGAGAGACTTGGATGGAGCTTCAGGCCCCTGGCTTTGGCCTGGCCCAGCTCTGGATATTGTGGCCATTTGGGAGAGTGAACCAGTGGGTAGAAGATCTATTTATCTGTCTCTGCCAATCTCTCTATAACTCTGCCTTTCAAATAAGAAACATTTTTTAAAAAAATCACTGACTAAAATATCCTGATTAAAATATCCTAGTTTTATATGTGTTCCTCTCATACCTCCTAAGAGTAATTTTAGAATGAGAGCTTCATCAATAGCAAATGTTTGATCAAAACCTATGAAAATGTTCATAAGAAAACTAAACTTATAAAACAGCAACATTTTCTCCATGTATGTCAATATAAAATATATTTATTATTCTTCATAGTCATCCTGTGTTCAAGTTCACTGCATGCATCCAGAATGATTCCTTTCATAAACTGGAATTCAGGACACATCTGAATAGATGTCATGACTCTACTAAAATATTTTAGTAAATTTTTTTAAAGATTTATTTATTTATTTGAAAGGCAGAGTGATGGAGAGAGAGGGAGTGACAAAGAGAAACAGAGGGAGATCTTCCATCTGCTGGTTCATACCACAAATGGCTACAATAGCTGGGACTGGGCCAGCCAGAAGTCGGGAACCAGGAACTCCATCAGTCTCCCACAAGGGCGGCAGAGACTCAAGTACTTGAGTCAACATCTGCTGCTTCCCAGGCGCATTAGTAGAGAGCTGGACTGGGAAACGGAGCAGCTGGGACTCCAATATGAGATGTCAGTGTTTCAAGCAGCAGCTTAACGTGCTAAACTACAATACTTGCCCCCCTACTACAATATTTTAATCTGACTGTTGTAACCACCAAGTCTGACATTGAGTTCATTTTGATATGTTCCATAGCATATTCTTTAAGAAATTGATAATCCTTTGCATGGAGATGAATTGTCCAAATGGTGCCCTTTTATCATCTTTCAACATTTCATTTCTAACACTTGTGGTTGATCAGGCAGAAAGAAGGTTGAGTTCACATCTAATCAGAAATGACAGCTTAGTAGCCTGGATATGACATTGATTATATTTTTCTTTTATCCATGTTATTTTTGCTACCTATTAATATCACTATTTAAAAGTTTTTTTAATTACCTGATGAGCAATGTTTTATGGTTCAAAATAACTCTAGAATATGTATAGAATGACTTACTTGAATTCACTTAGAATAATCAAGACTAAGAATATAATTACAGCAAAAATTGATTAACTTGTATTGATGATTTGAGCTTATTGGAAGATTGAGTGAGGAACATTAAGTAGCTGAATAAGACATGGGACACTTTCTCCAAACATTCTGTGTTAAGAACTGGGCAGTTCCAGTTCACTGTCTACTTTTCAGTATTTTCTTCACTCTGACAATCCATTGAAAGTTGACAATTTTCCCCCAACCTTTGCACACTTTTATTTCCTTCTTGAGAGTAATACAGAAAGCAAGAGATGTAGTCACTCAATTGGATCAATAGTTAAAACATTTGGTAAACCACTAAATAAAGGTAAAAATGAATACCCTAAATACAGCCCTTTTTGAAAACAAATACCAATCACTCCTTCCCAATAGAACATGGGTGAGTCAAAGAGATACATTTGGAGACATGGGTATTTATGTTCTTTATTTCAGATAAAACTACTGGGACATGGACAACCACTTAACTGGATTTCTTCGGAGCAAAAGGGCATTACAGTAGAATTGCCACAGCTGACAGTTCATCAGATGCCCTGTAAATGGGGCTGGACCCTGGCACTGACGAATGTGATCTAATGTGCAGCAGAGAGGCCTGTGCTGCAGTTACCTCTAAGACTAGGAAACATAAGCTTTCTATAATTTTATCTGATGGAGATAGCAAATGTAAAATTGGTAGAGAAAAATCAAGTAATTGCTTTGGCAATTTAGCCCCTTTTCCTTCTGTCTCCCTAAATTCCTTCCTAAACTACTCATACAACCATTTTAACTTTTCAGTGTATTTTGTCATTAAAGTCTCTTCACACTGAATGTGTTTCCAAGAGCGACTCAGAGGGAGACTTTGTTTTAGAGTATCTAGGGATTCATGGTGTTATGGACAGAATTGTGTCCTTCCCAGACTCTTACTTTGAAACCCTGACCCCCAGTGTGAGTGTCTTTAGAAATAGGACCTTTTAGAAGTAATTAAGGCTAGCCCTTTTGCCTCCGGACTTCTCTGGGGCCAGCAGCCGCCCGACTAGGGGCCGCGGGCTCTGCCGACGACCATGGGCTCCGTGTCCAACTAGCAGTTTGCAGGTGGCTGCACCAAGGTGGCGGAGAAGGCGCCCGAGGAGGCGCCGGAGGACGCGGCCGCGCGGCGGACTAGCCGCAGCTGCTGCACGGGGCCGGCATCTGTAAATGGTTCAGCGTGCGCATGGGGTTCGGCTTCCTGTCCATGACCGCCCGCGCCGGGGTCGAGCGTCTTTGTGCACCAGAGTAAGCTGCACATGGAGGGCTTCCGGAGCCTGAAGGAGGGTGAAGCAGTGGAATTCACCTTCAAGAAGTCCGCCAAGGGCCTGGAATCCATCCGTGTCACCGGGCCTGGTGGGGTGTTCTGTATTGGCAGTGAGAGGCGGCCAAAGGGGAAGAGCATGCAAAAGTGCAGATCTAAAGGAGACAGGTGCTACAACTATGAAGGTCTAGACCATCATGCCAAGGAGTGCAAGCTGCCACCCCAACCCAAGAAGTGCCACTTCTGCCAGAGCATCAGCCATATGGTGGCCTCGTGCCCCCTGAAGGCCCAGCAGGCCCCCAGCTCCCAGGGAAAGCCAGCCTACTTCCGGGAGGATGAAGAGGAGATCCACAGCCCTGCCATGCTCCCCGAGGCCCAGAATTGAGCCACAGTGGGTGGGGGCTGGTTTTTTTGGCTATCAGGAAGTTTCAAGGAGCAGGCATCAACTGCAGAGTGGAGAAAGTGGGGACAGGGTGGGTTGGGGGGAGCTGGCATTGCCACGTATCCCAGGCTGGGGTTCACAGCATCACCCCTTTTTACCTCATGCTGGGAGGAAGGAGTGAGGCAGGGAATTCCAACCATGCTATATCCAAATGCAATTAAGGGGTTTGGGGGGGGGTATCACCCTGTAGCCTGCATGCTTTATCTGAGGCCCCATGTGCCAAATCTCTAGCTTTGCAAAGTCACCTGGATGGGGGAAGTGTTCCTTTGAAGGAAGGATATGGAATAATACTTCCCTAGCCAGGGTGAGAAGACTGGTTGTGGGTCCAGATTCCTGGACCCAACCCCCAAACCACTACGTCCTATGGGAGGGACTTGGGAGTAAGGCAGGGTTTTCCACATCTTGTTTCCTCATAACTCGATCCTGGGATAGGGTGCTGGGAACTGTCCCAAGCAGTGGGTTGTGACGATCGGCAGAAAGGGTGGCTAGGGGAACAGTCACAGACCCGCTGCTCCTGAGCTCACTCCTGACCCCATTCTGGGCCAATGCGATTTATTTATTTGCTCCCTTGGATAACTGCACCTTGGGTCCCACTTTCTCCAGGATGCCAACTGCACTAACTATGTGCGAATGACGTATCTTGTGCATTTGAACTTTTTTTTAAAAATATAAATAGTCTGGGTTTGTGTTTTTGTATATTTTAATCAAAGGCCCTCATTCCTGCACTGTGTTCTCAGGTCCATGAGCAATCTCAGGGATAAGTCTGCAGCAGCTCCAGGTCTGCACAGCAGGAAGGCTTTTTGTTGTTTTTATCACCATGGAGAGCAACTATTTGGAGTGCACAGCCTATTGAACTACCTCATTTTGCCAACTGGAGCTGGCTTTTTTGCCACACTGTCTTCTTGAAACCCCCTCCACCTTGAAAATGTTTCAGGGAGATGAAGTGTTAATGGGGTTGTCCCATGAATGAGCTCCTCCCAAAAGATTGAAAATTAGTCTGGACAGGAAAATGCAGAGAAGTCAGGCCATGCCAGCTGAAAGGCCCAGAGAGGAAGCCATGGTCAAGGTTGCCTGATCCTAGGACACAGGTCTTTTGCTTCACTTAACAGAGCCATCCTTCACCAACCAGATTTAGGCAAGGCCTACTATGCACAACAGGGTGTGTGTGTTTGTGTGCACACACGCGTGTGTGAAAAATGGGAGCTGGTAAGGATGAGTTGAAGACCAATACCCCTGTACGCATCCTGTGCTGTCCAGGAGTGAACATGAAGCAAGGACTAAAAAATCCTTAACCTTCCCAAATTCTTGGCTTCCAGGGAGACCCATAAGTGAGGGCCTCGTGGTGGTGTCCGGAGCCGGTGTCCTGCCCTGTGACTGTAGTGATGACTGTGTCATGGTAACTAAAGGAGAAGGGGGTTTCATGTACATGCTGAGAGATCACCGCAACCTACCTCACTGTGTTGAAACGGGACAAATGCAATAGAAAGCATTGGATGATGTGTGTCTGGTCCTGGGTTCCTGTCTCCCCCAAATGCTGCCCCCCTTCCGTTATTGTATTGTCTGGGCTTTGTAGGACTTCACTGCGTCTCTGAGTTGGTGATTGCTAGGTGGCCTAGTTTGTGTAAATATAATGTGTTGGTCTTTCTCCATGTTCTTTTGGGGTTTTATTGTTTACAAACTTCTTTTTGTATTGAGAGAAAAATAGCCAAAGCATCTTTGACAGAAGGTTCTGCACCAGGCAGAAGGATCTGAAACACAGGAGGCTCTCTTCTTGAAGCGGGGATCTTAAGCTGTCTTTGGTGTTCCCCTTCCCCTATCCTATTCTGGATCTCTGTCCTTAAAATTTGACTCCTAACCTACCCTCTTCTCCATTCCCCCACCCACACATAAACATTGAATCCTGGGTGTCTCCACACATCTAAAGGATTCATGCAAAAATCCTGAACAAAATAGGAAGCTCCGCCCCTTGTTCCCAACCTCCTGAGTCAAGACCATTTCCTGATGGGACTCATGCCAAAGACTTAAGACACTGATGCATTTGGATGGGTCAGACCTCAATTTATCCGAAAGAAGAGAAGCTATTGGGCACCTTCTGTGTAGAAAAGGGGTGTGGAGATCAAGAAGGGGACTATGAATGTACATCCAAGTCACTCAGGAACTTTTATGCAGGTGCAAGAAACTTATGTCAAAGTGGCCATAAGATTGTTTGATAGGAGACAGACGAATGTAACTCCATGTTTACTGCTAGAAACCAAAGCTTTATGTGAAATCTTGAATTTATGGGCAGGAGGGAGGGAGTGTAGGAAAGCTTGCATCTGTTCTTTGGCTGACACCCCCCCCCCCATTCCTGAACTGCAGGAGAATAAGCCCCCTTGGGTTTGGTGACCCCATCACTGGGGAGTGTGTATTTGAAGGTTGATTTTTGCTGTACTGGGTTCCTCCTTTCCCATTTTCTAATTGCTTTGTAACACATATGCTGACTCTCCCCATCCCTTCTCCTTTCCCTGGGGAAATACAATGAATAAATCAAGACTTATTGGTACTGAAAATAAAAAAAAAGAAGTAATTAAGGCTAAATGAAGTCATAAAGTTGGGGCCCTAATCCAATAGGACTAGAGTCCTTCAAAGAAGGGAAAAAGACACCAGGGATGCAAGAGCACAGAGGGAATCCATGTAAAGACACAGTGAGAAGCAGGCCTGGTTCATGCCAATGAGAGAAGCCTCACAAGAAACCAAATCTATCAACACCTTGATCTTGGACTTCAGCCTCTACAATTATGAAACAATACATTTCTGTTGCTTAATCCACTCTGGCTGTGATTTTTGTGTTATTGTGGTCCTAGCATTCTAGTAGAGGTGGCACATAACAAGTTTGGCCTAACATATATTTCCAATGCATCCAGTAATTGTATTTTTGAAAAAAAAATTCTTTTAATTACAAAACTCATATGTTCACTGTATATATAAAATCACCACTCGGATCACCATTATTAATATTTTAGTACATATTTTTCAAGTTTTGGGGGGAGCTGCTGGAAGGAGGTATGGATTGGAGGTATGGGTGTAATTTTTTATAGATGGGTTAATTTGAGTTCTAACTTAAATTTAGTAATTTGCTCACAATATTTGCCCTCATGCAAATTAAAGTTGAAAACCTAGTTGAGAATTAAGAAGTCTACTCAGGTCTTAATAATAAGGCAAAAGTGCTACTTATTTCAATGTAATTTTTTAAACTTTTATTGAGTAAATATAAATTTCCAAAGTACAGTTTATGGATTACAATGGCTTTTCCCCCCCATAACTTCCCTCCAGCCCACAACCCTCCCATCTCCCACTCCCTTTTCCATTCCATTCACATCAAGATTAATTTTCAATTATCTTTATATACAGAAGATCAGTTTAGTATATATTAAGTAAAGATTTCATCAGTTTGCACCCACACAGAAACACAAAGTGTAAAATACTGTTTCAGTACTAGTTATAGCATTAATTCACATTGAACAACACATTAAGGACAGAGATCCTACATGAGGATTAAGTACACAGTGACTCCTGTTGTTGACTTAACGATTTGACACTCTTGTTTATGGCGTCGGTAATCTCCCTAGGCTCTAGTCATGAGTTGCCAAGGCTATGGAAGCCTTTTGAGTTCGCCGACTTCGATCTTATTTAGACGAGGTCATAGTCAAAGTGGAAGTTCTCTCCTCCCTTCAGAGAAAGGTACCTCCTTCTTTGATGGCCAATTCTTTCTACTGGGATCTCACTCACAGAGATCCCAGTGTAATTTAAAAGCAAAATTCATAAAAGAACTGATACTTCCCTCAATAAAGGATGTTAAATATGGCCAAATCTTTATTTGAAGTACTAACTGGTTCCATATTTTGACAGTCATCAAATATAAACATTTCATTGTTTCAAAAAATCTTTCAAATGTGGACTTCAAATGGAGACTGAAATAAAATAGTTTTTATTTATTTCCTAAAATAATGCTCAGGTTGAAATTTTTTTAAAAAAATTAATCACTGTTGAAGCTCCTGACAACTATCAAATATTTGAAAGCATGACAAAGTATTTACATGGATAAGTACTTTAAAAGTCCTAAATCCCAA